CACACACACACACACACACACACACACACACACACACACTCCATGCCCAAACCCAAGCCCTGACCTCATACATTCACAATTTCAAAACGGTACTAGCACATCAGCAGTAAGCATCATATAGTCCTGGGCTGAGGCTGTAGGCTGTCCTATGCTATGCATGACAGCTGGCCAATTTCTCAGAGGAAGGTTAGAAAAAACCCCCAAATCTTACGAAGTATTCATGAGAAAAAACCAAAAACCCTTCCTGACCCCTAACTGGTGACTAGCAGAAGCCCTGATGCATGGGAATTAAAGCTAGTGGTATCAGAAGAAGAGCAGCATGTCAAAGGCCAGTTTGCTGAGGGCCAAGCTGCAGTAAAAAGCCAACAGGACCTTGGACAGTAGCTGTCTTGACAGGTAACGTGCCCAAAAACTGTCTCCCAACCTTGCTGCAGAAAATCTGGAGGGGTCCAGAGGAGGTGGCCAAGAGGGAAGACCTGAAGGGAAGGCTGGAGAGGGAAATGTTCTTTCCCAACAGCTCCAGTCCCTGGCTTGGCCAAGGGTTGTGTTGGCCAAGCTGAAGGAACAACCAAGTCTCCAAGCTGCCATCTCCCTCCAAGAAGTCAGCGAGAGGAATTTGCCTGGCTCCCTAACTGGCCACGAAACGCTGACAGGGCGAGGGCTTTAAGCAGCAGTGCTATCTGCATTTTATATTAACTTTGCTAAGCATCGTTTGACCTTGTCAGTACAGATAAAGCCCTGTGAAGTGCAATGCCAGATAAAATGTAATTTTAATTAAGTATAGTTATATCCGGACAAAGCGCAGCTGAATACAAATGACCCCGTGGTTTAATACTTTCAATTCATATTGAAATTTCTTTTGAATCTGTGGGGCTGTGAGAGTCAATGACCTCCCAAAAGGGGCAAGTAAGGTGGAGATTCTTCCCCTTCGCGGCTGCCAGGTACCTGCCACCATGCTTGATGGGTCGTCTCCAGCGCAATACAATACGCAGCTGTGCAGCCCCACTGGACCTTTCTGATCCTGAAGGCTTCTCTTATCCTCCCCATGCTACCTGTTGGCACCGGGTTTATGACCGCCTGGAACAAGGTATCTGGGTTAAATCCTACCCCTCTCATTTAGGGGGGTCCTTGGCATTTTACATGCCATTCATTTACTGATTTTTGCTACAAACTTAAATCAACCCATGACATGGGCCAGAAGCGATCCTTCTGTGTTCAGAATAAAACTGATTTTATTTTCTTCCCCAATAAATAATTTAAAAATCAACTGGATGATTGACTGACAGGCTCCTAAGTCAGCCTCAGAGGAGCCACAGCCTGTCTAATGGCAGGAAAGGGGAGGGCGAGGGGGCATAACTGCGTGAGTAAAGACTACTGATCTGAATAGGGGTTTACAGAATCAGGCCACACATTTCTGATGTTCATGTGATGTTTGGTTCTTGATTTGAGGAAAGCAAAAGAGACAGACCTGCCCACAAATCACTAATAAGTTGTATTTGCCCTGGCTGCTCACGCTAAAACAGGCAGACAAAGTGTCAAATGCTTACATAAAACAATGTCCTGATCAGAGGGAGTACCCAACCCTCAGCTATTAACCACTGAGTACTCAGCTAATAGCTTTCACCACTGGGGCTAGATTTATCCTTTTTAATCTCTAAATTAAATAAAACAGAGCCCCTTTGGAAATGCAGCAAAGCCCTCTTGCTCCAGGCCACCACGTTTCCTTTTTATGCTTCCTTAAGGGTCTCTGTTTTTCTGTCTCTTCCCATCACCCAGAGTAATTTGGGACCATTAGAGAAAGTTCATTGCTGTAATTGCAACCATATTGGTCATTAAAGTTGACAGACAGCTGTTGAGAAAGTCACTCGCTGATTCCCGCTCCTCTGCGAATGCCTTGCTGTGTTTGCTAAATCGGGACTTTGAATTTATGAAAAGGAAGCAAAATCCATTTTACCCCCAGGACCAATATTGTCAGGGAAGGAAGAGTGCTCCAAACTCAGCCCTGTCTGTATTTATAAACAACGCTCACATACCTCTTGCTTAAGCAGAGGCAAACTGTTCATTATTTACTTGATCCAATAAAGATTTCCCCCCAGCTCTCGCTCCTGGTTTGAAGTCAGTAATGCATTTTGGAAAGAGAGCTCATCCCTCCCGCCTCTATTTTGGAGCTGCTAAAACAGCAAATCTTAAATAACTTGTCTGAGTTTCAGGACCTGAGAGAGGAGAGAAGGCTGTGCATTTCCACGGAGCATGGGACGATCTCAGCACACCGGGGGCCAAGTGTTATTACCCTTCGTGCTAGAGAGGGGGAAAGGTAAGTGGAGAAATGAGAGGCCTGCCTGTGTCTAAATGAACAGTTGAGGTAAACCAGGCTCCAGTCTAAGTGCAAGGAGTTAGTCCCAGAGCCTGGGGATTATCCTGTCAAAGGATCCCTGACAAGTTATACCAGGTGAGACCCTGCCTTGAGACACCTAAGAGCTCAGTTGACACAGTGAGGCAGGTGCATAGATGCAAGCAAGGATTCATTTTGCAGCCATGCTGGTTTGAGAGAGAGAGGTACAAAAAGCTCTTGGGTCAGAGGCAGTATCTTTCATTAGAACCACTAAATAGTAGCAAAGAAAGGGGTTTTTTTTGCTACTATTTAGTGGGTCTAATAAAACATATCACCTCTGACCCACGAGCTTTGTGCATCTCTAGTTACAAACAGATCACAGATGTCCTGACTCCCCAGTCCCTGATCTCATCAGGCAACCTACCTGCTTCCCACTTTGTCACCCTTTGAGCACCTGTCCTCACCTGTAAGCGCAGGGGGAGAGGGGAGAAAACCTTTTCAAGAGTGACTTGCCTGGCGGATTGCTTGTCACCTCTCAAGGAGAGCAGCCGCGGGGAGTTACAGCAGACAGACTTCAGATGCATACTGCGGTGCCTGCGCTTACTTGCTAGGTCTTACGCGCTGTTCCTTTTCTTCTGCGTTGGAAGAGCATCCATGCAAAGTTATCTCGTGTGGTTCGGCTCCACCAGATGTGCTGCCACAGCGTCGTTCTGCAAACAGTTGAAGACAGATAAATCCTTCAGACAGCTGCTCCTAGGGGTGCCCTCCCCAAGCCACTGCCAGCAGCATGAAAAAAAAGAAGAGTTTGGCTCCTTTTCACTTCTTACCAGAAACATCTCTCCCCTACTCCCTAACTAGTGACCAAAGTCGTCGTGCGGGTGCTTGCGAGCTAGAGGGCAGTGTTTTACCTTCTTGTCCAGCCCTGTGACTGCCAAGGCCTCCGTAGGCTGTGAAAATAAATTGGACATTAAATATTTTATTTTGGATCTCCTACTACTGAGTTATTTCTGGTGCGATGCAGCAAGTAAATATTTTGCGCCAGTATTCACAATAAATCCCACGCACTGCACGCCAGGCAGTAAGGGCCCACTCCAGATTCTTTTTGAAACCAGTAAACTTTATTTATATATAACAACAGTACAAAGTGAGTCCTTGGCTTGCAAAATAGGAGTGTTTCATATTTACAATAGGTACACAATAATATATTAGAATAATAACAAAACCCCCTTTTTTTTTCTCCTTGGAACGCTTTTAAATACTTAAACTTTCTTACATTTTTTTCCCCACAACACTTGTAAAAACAACAAAAACCAGACAACCATTTAAAAAAAAAATATAATACAGAACTCCAGTGTGTCAAGTATCACGGGGACAGGTGGACGGAGCGGGAAAGGGTTGGGCTGTGTGGTGCAGACAAAGTATACAGTCAGATTTAGTGTATCTCGCCGGCCCACCAAAACCAAAATAAAATAAAAATAAAAATGATAAAAAAGGGTCTTATGATGAGCATTTCTTTAATTTGTAAGGGACGGGTCAAATAAATAAAGAGCCCTTTGAACCCCACATATCTTTGCTTTAAAAATCACATTTTTTAATTTTTTTAAAAATTTGGTTGCTACCTTCACATCCCCCTTTTTTCATGACTGTCCCCCTGCAGAAGGTGCCCTCAGCAAGTGAACTTTCTCCGCGGTACGGCGGGGATGGAGCTGGCTGTGATACATTCTGAGTATTAGCAAGAATGAGGCAGAAGTAAGGACTACCGGCCTGCGCTCTTGCACTTTTTGACGCCTCCCTATTCAGGCACGTGCCTGCTCTGGCCAGGAGAGGAGGGGACCAGCATTCAATGTTTCCCCAGGCCAAATGCAGCACAGGGGCCAGATATTGCAAGGGAAAGCCTGCTCAGGAGGTGACCACCTTGAGTTTGCAGGCTCCAGAGACAGGCGCCGGGGTTTGGGCAAGTGCCCCTGTGGTGGGGGCTATGCCAATCTTTGGAGCCTTTTGCCAATGGCAAGGAGGGAAGGTGGGGATTGGGACGGGGACTTCTTCCACCCAAAGGAAGAACATGACGGCAGGTGGGCATTTTTAGCCAGCACGGATAAACACACGGACACTGCAGCATAAACAACACGGGCAGGACACACGGCGTCTCATCTGGATTCAAAGGCCTGACTTATTTCATGTAAAATCCTGACAGCTATGGCAGCCACAGCTGCTCTAGCAAGGGGAGGAACTGCTCGCTTAGCCATTTGCTCCAGGCTGTGGGTTGCTGACGGGGCAGGACACGGCACCCCGGTGCTCGCACTGCCCCCACGGCTGCTGTGGTCGGATGCTCTGTGCCTGCCACAAAACCCGGAACGGATCCGGGGACAGCCGGGCTCCCCTCCTGCCCCCAGGCCCTCTTTGAGACAGTCTCCAAAGCTGGCTCACTGCTAACAGGACCGGTAAACCAGGGAGGGGATCAAAAGGGGTAGGACAGAGACCAAGAAAGCTTTGCACTGCACACTTGTCCTTAACTGAGTCCGGAAGAAGCGCTCAGCACGTTACCAGGATTTCTGGCTTCTCACTTTGCCTCAAACTAGACCAGGAGCCCTGGAGAAAGGGGCTTTTGAAGAGGCAAGGGAATAAAATGAAGCACTTGCTTTCAAATTGGGGGCCTTTGTGGAGGTAGGAGGGAATCGTACTCCCTCCTGGTTGGGTGGATACATCATTCACTCGCTAGGAACTGGGCAGAGATATTTTGCTCGTTCCTCTTTCTAAGAGAAGAAAAATATGTTCAAAGGTTTCACAGTGTCTAAGACCCTGCCCTTCGAACTGGCCTGGCTGAGCTACACGTAGGTGTTGTGGTTTGGGGTGCTCAGGCTCTGAACCGCACCCCACGGGTATCTATTTCGAAGTCAAACAGCTCCTTCAACAAACAGCTCATCCCAACAGAAATGTTTCCAACAACGTGACTGCCCTGGCCACGTCAGCGCTGGGCGGCTGTGTATGTGTCGCACACGTAAGGCCTTTGGCCCCTCACTTGCTGATCTCAAGAGGCCTGGGGCAAAGCAGAGCGGGGCTGGGGGGGGGGATCGTGGAGGTTTCACTGAAGACACATTCACAAAACAGATCGGACCGTTCACCTAGCTCTACCTAGCAAGTAACTATATACAACGTCACAGCTCCGTATTATTGGCTTACGGTTTATGGTACACGTGGACTACTGAAATAGGATGACTGAAGCTGTGCTGGCCTCAAATGCATCGTGGATGCTGGTTGCTTGTCCTCCTTTTCTGAACCCTTTTGTCTTTCCTGCACAGCACAGTCACTGCCGAGGTTTCCCCCTGATGGCCCAGCTTGTTCGAGTCCATCTATTTTTGTTTCATTCAGTTTGGTGAACTAAGTCCTCATGACAGGTGAATGCTGACAGCCCTGGAAAATGAAACAGAGCTGCCGGTGACAGCCAAAAACACTGCCCTGCAGCTGCTAATGGGAAACAGTACAGGCACAGGCTTAAAAAAATGTTTCCAGAATAATTCTCCGGCCCCTGCTCTGCCCCAGGTGGAGTTACACTCTCAAGGGCAACACACAAACCAGCTTCCCTCCAAGTCCCTTGCAGCAGCGAGCGGTTAGCAACCCTGCAAACCAGACCCTGCATGCACGTCCACACCGGGCACCAAGCAGGAGGCACTCAAGCCAGCAGCCCCAGCTGGACGCCTGGACTCGTGCTCATATAGGGCACTTGCACACGTTATGCATTTACACATAGAGCCCGGAGCACAAACGCCGAACCGCCGAGTCCTGCTGCAGGGCTCCCCTACTCAGCCTGGACGTCGCAGACAACCCGGGAGGCGGATGGAATAGGGAGAGGCTCCTTTTTTTTGGTAAATTCCATATAAAACCCTTACCAGCAATGGCATACGTCCTCTTAAGAGGACATGGGTGGCCTGGCTGTTGGGATTGTCACAGGGGAAAGGCATTGAACACCTGTGAGGCGAAGGGTTTTATCACCCAGCACTGGGATTTCCTGGGGAAAGGCTGGCCTCCCGCATACGCAGATTCAGGTTCATGACTCATTTCAGTCCCCCTTTCCACGGCTCTGCTCCTTCACAGCCTGGCCCTGGGGTGTTTTTCATAACACTTGTTTGTCATGAATTAAGCTACAGTCCGTTCCCCGCCGGGCTGGACCTAGGATGGCGTCAGTGGACCTTAGCTCTCCCAGCTTTACGTACCTGGCAACCCCCTCCCCTACCTCTCCTGTGGGAAGGAGTGGGCCATCTGAGCTCCATGCCAGCCTGCTTCTTGGAGAGATACACCACTGTGGGGCAAAGGCAGCAAGGTCCAGGCAGAGGCAAGCTTGGCTAGGAGTTAGGACTCTGGCATAGGGGGTTTTAAAAAAGGCTTTCAAGGTGGAGAAGCATTTGATTAGCACCTTGCTACCCCTTGGAGTGGGTGCTTTGATGGCTCTGGATAATGCTCAAGTGCAGAAGATTAAATAGAATTATTTAAACAGCAGCACCAGACACAGATAGTCCAGAAATGACGTCTTCTGCTTTGATGTCGAAACACCTGAAACAAAGCCGACCGGAGAATCAAAACGCCTGGGCGCGTTTCTCCCACCCGGCCTGGTGCGGGGAAGGAGGCGCAGAGCTAGACGTGCAATCATTTCATCTGCGGCAAACCCGGGGCCTCCCTGCCGACCGAACCTGGCGTGGGGCTTGCCTGCGGCGCGCACACCGCTCCGTGCCGAGATCTGAAGCGCCGGCCCCAGAGGACTGAGAAGTCGGCTGTAAATTGGGCATCGGATCACAAGAGCTTCGTCACATAATTTCCTGCAAGCATCCATTATTCACGAGAACCAAAGAAAGGAGCGCTGAAGAGACTTGCTCGGTCACACTTCAGCCACTCCTGCCCCAGCCTGCAGCAGACTGCCCCCTTTGCTGCCTTACTACGTCCGGTCCTGTTTCAAGCGATTCAAACACTTTGGCTTCAGCCGCTTCCCTTGGGACGCTATGCCACAATCTAATTAATGCTCCCAGGCGGCAGGCACATTCCCCTTTTCCTCCGATGCCTTTGCATACACGCAGCAATTAATCCCAAATACTCTCTTTCCCTCCTTGTGCTTAGGAGCATTCCTTGAGCATGTGCAGCTGCCCCTTTCCCCAACCCTTCATATTAGACATGTCTTGTTCCCTCCTCAGTGACATCCAAGCCCTGCAAGCATTTTAATTTTTCCCTAGTCCTCTGCACTTGGTGGGATGAAGAGCCCCACAGCTGTTTTCCAAGCCTCCAGACAGCAAAGGAGGAGAATGATGCTAAGGGATGAAACAACTGGAGAAGAGGAGACCGAGGAGGGATTGAATAGCAGCCTTCACCTCCCCGCAGGGGGGTTGCAAAGAGGATGGAGCTGGGCTGGTCTCAGTGGGGGCAGACGACAGGACGAGGAGCAATGGGCTCAAGCTGCAGCAAGGAAAGTTGAGGCTGGATATTAGGAAAAAATTCCTCGCTAGGAGGGTAGTAAAACACGAAACAGGTTACCCAGAGAGGTGGTGCAGTCTCCATCCTTGGAGATTTTGAAGACCCGGGTAGACAAAGCCTTGGCTGGGATGATGTAGTTGGGGCTGGTCCTGCATGGACAGTGGGTTGGACTAGATGTGACTTCCCGAGGTCCCTTCAACCCTTGTTTTCTATGATTTTAAGCATGACTGCTGAATACACCCGGCCTCGGGTGCTATAACACGCAATGTGGATGCTGCATGCTGCTAAAGACAGCCTCTGCATACTGCCACCCCCAAGGCTTGTGCAATGACCTTTATACAGCAGGCAAGAGATGTAGGATCTGCAACGTATCCCCACAGCACCAGGGAGCTGTAGGCAGGGACTTCAGCCTTCACTAGACAGAAGAACAGGGTAAAGGGAACCCACGCTGGAGAAGACAGCTGGGCAGGGAGACGGGCAAGGTGTGTGTGATGCCTCCTAGCAGAAGCCCACTGTTCCAGGCCTAAACCTAGTTAGACAGGGGATCTTTGATGAGTTGACAGGAAGGAATTTGGACTACAAGGTCCAAAGCAGGTCCTGGTAGGAGCATGGGAGTTCTCCCATCAGGGTGCAGAAATGATGCCAAGCGACTCTGGAGAACAGTTAAGCAGGCAAAGCGAATCGGGAGTAAGAAATACTTGAAGCAATGGCTGTGACCAGAATGCAAGGCTGAACAAAGGTGCGCATTGATCATGTGCGGGATTGCTGTGAACAGCAACAGCAAAAACCTGGGGAAACTGAAGTCTTTTTGGGGCATATCACAGATCTGCCTCTATGCAATGTCAGCAACAGAGGGCAGGTCAAGTTAGCAACTGCTCTAATGACTAGATGGTGAATTTATTAGGGTTGGGATGCCAGGCTTTAATAGGATGACCTGGCAGATTCTCCCTGTTCTGTCTGTGTAATTAGACTCCTGGTGCAGGTAAGGGAACCTGGGAAGGAAACCCCACTGATGATAGGCAGCCTGTCTCTGTGCTGGTCTCCACAGATCCCCTTCTTGTACCCATGTCTCAGTCGGAGCCTTCTAGTTACAAAGCTTAGGCTGTAGCGAATGTCAAAAACTACAGCTTATTGCACCAGGATGGTCATTAGTATTTCTTTCGGGCTACTAATAGGGCCCAGAGAAACTCACCTAAGTGGATTACCAGAGGAGAGTGGGCTTGGTGCGGCTTTCAATGGAGGATAATTGAAACAGCAAGTTTCCTGAGTACTTCTCCGAATGCTTTTCCCTCCCTCCTTGTTGCTGTCTGCATTCAGACTCCTGGGACTCTCGCTGCCTGCTTAAAGCACCAGTTTGAACCTGCACGTCCGCGACCAGAGAGCTCCCAGCTCCCTTCTGCAGCAGTGGGCTGGGGGTGGTGGCTGGCTGTGAAGTGGTATTTTCTTTGCAGCGCCCTGGCAGCAAGCTAAGACCCCATCCCTGCACAGGCACAGATTGCCAATGACCGTGGCACAGCTCTGTGAGCCCAGGGACCCAGGTGGTCGGATCCCAGTGCAGCACTGCGGCGCAGATTGTGAGCGGGGACTAACAAGAGCTTAAGTACAGGCAAGCTTCAGCCACACCTGCAGCCACTGATTCCCCTTTCAGCTCTGTGCAAATGCACAGACAAAGATGGATTTCAAGACGAGAAGGCTGCATACTCCAATGGTTTTGCACTGTAGGTTCAGCTCCTTCCAGCTGAAAGCTGGAGGGTGAGTGGTGGGGGTGAGTCTGTGGGCCCAGTAACATGAGGCCTTTCCCTCCCCACACCCCTTCTAATGTTGTTGGGAGGATGCGGTTGCTTTACCGGAGTCCTGCGGCGGAGCGGATCCTGCGTAAGTCATAACAGTACCTAGCACGCAGCACCCGCACGTGTGAGACGGCAAAGCACCCATGCTCCTTTGGCTTCAGCCAGACCTTCACATTGCCAAGCCTTTGCTAATCTTCTCACCCCACCAAACACTGCTCCCTCCACTTCAGAAGCAGGGGAAAGAGTACCGCGCAGGTGAAGTGGCTAGCCTGGGATCAGTCCCTTCACAGCCGAGCTGTTCCTAGCCTCTCTGCAGGGAAACTTATGGCCGGGCATTTTCCCATCAGGTTTTGACTCCATTAGACAGACCCACGTAGCTACTCTGCTGCAATCGCCAAGGCTCGCATGGTCGATACTTCTATTTCCATTAGGTCTAATCACCTTGTCCTCCCCACTGCAGCCTGCACAAATATCAATATTTATTACAGAGAGAAATATTTACAGCATTCCATCCACCTCTTGGCACTCTTTAAAGGACATGAAAGCTTTGGTCTCTTTTAAAGGAATAACACTCACATACATTTGTCTTTCAGTGACCACAAGAAGATGGGCTGCTCTGGCCGCTAGAAACCAAACCTACCGAACGAGACACAGAGACAAAGACGACGACGACGGCAACGGGAGTTGGCACTCGGACTGTGTGGGTTACGGCTTTCTCTTGCCTAGCGCAGAAATTTCTACCCCTCCCTCAAATGGAAATCAAAGTCTTAGGCTTGACCTTGGGTGACCTTGCATATGCCGGGAGAAAAATGCGAAACGGCGTCTGTCCTCATTTTGTCTGTAAGGGTAAGAGAGTCTTAAACAGAAAAGCAATAAATACATCATCTCACTATGTCTACTCTTTTCAAGTATCACTTGCTGTAAACATTGGGTTTTTGTGTGTGTGTTTCAACCGCAAGAAATCACATTGCAGCTGGAACAGAATAGCACTAGCCGGCCAGCACTCCAAGCAACTAAGAAAGCTCCAGCCCAGCTCTGCTTGACTGGGAAAGGTCAGCCAATTGGTTTAGCTCAAATTGCACCTGCAGAAACCTACAATGCACCAATTTCAGTTTAAACCACACACGACTTCCTTCGTTTCACGCGCCACAAAAGGCAGAACATTCCTTAGGAACCCGAATGTCAAGCAAACAAAGATCCCGCTGAATGGTGGCACCTGGCTGGAGCTTTGTGTTGAAACAGCATGGAAATAAAAGAGGGGAAAGTTTAGAATCAGATCCTTCCTCCTTCAGCGGTAAGTGGGATTTAAAAAAAATAGATATATCGACACTATATAAATACACAGATAAAGCTGGATTTCAAGACAAAGAGGTCGAATGCTCTGATGGTTTTGCAACTCGGGTAAAGTTCTTTCCGGTGCCTATAATTTACTCAGCTGTTGGCTTTCTTTCCGGCTAAACTGTTATTTTCCTTTGTGTAAAACGGTTTGGTGCAAACTTGTGCTCATATTTTTGTAAGTTCCCAGGAAGAGGAATAATGGGATTTTCCAAACTTTCTTATTAGCATAAGAGTCAGTTCTCTGAATGGCTGAGCCACACACTACAGGAACCTCACATGAGAGAGAGAGAGAAGATTTGGAACTGAACTTTGTTGGCAGAAGTATCTCGGTGGCCACCGTGGTTTTTGTTAAATTTCTTTTTTTTTTCTTTTTCTTTTTCTAAAAAAAAACCCCCTTTAAATAAAGTTTTTATGATTTCCTAATATACATCACACGGTTTTCATGCAAAGCAGCAGTCATGGAGGCCTCCAGACTTCCTTCTTCCATACATACGACTTGAAGAGTTGATCCATCTGGACCCTATTTGGCTTGGGGATGCATTGTCTTTCTAGCTGTCTGCTCAAACTGGAATCTAAGTGATTTTGAACTCAGTAGGTATCTGGGCCCAGCTCTGCTCCCACCAGAGGAAGTCTCAGTACTTATAGGTGTCCAGTGCCTTCCCTGCTTGTTCTTACTCTTAGTTCCCGAGAGTCTTTGCAGTGACTATTCCCTTCTTGTTGAGCCTCGTGTCCTTTCTTCAGCTCTCGATAGACATGGCACCAATGAGCTGCTCTACTTTGTATGCCAAGCGCTGCCTGCGCGCCTGCTCGTCCTGCTCCAGGGCTCCGATGATCTGGTACAAAGCAAGAGAAAAAGAAATCAGCACGAGATGGACAGGTCGAGCAGACAGACAGACACTTGTGGGTGGGCTCGTGGCCCAGTGGGTGTTGATGGCAACAGGCAGCAGCAGTTTCTAGGGTAGGTGCAGTATGCTGACTCCTTTCCTTGGGCAATAGAGTAGCAAGAGCCAATGATCCTGGTGAGACTGAACGCCTGGAAGCCGGTTAGCGTAAAACTCCTGAGCCCGTCTGGGTTTGCCCAGCCTTCTCCAGGGACTGGGAGGCTCAAGGCACATTCCCTAGTCCAGGTGCACTTAGCGCTTGGAAGCTGAGCCTGGCCTGATACAGTAAATCCCTCCCTTTAGCTCTTCTCCTCCAAAGAAATGTAAATAATGAAAGACGGACGCCAGCAGTGAGGGCTGTGCCATCCTGCCCCCATACCGCTTTGTCAGCCCCTTTGCTGCACAGCGCCGGCGTGATGCCGCCATTCCCACTCCGGTGTCTCCGACTCCCTCTCGCCCGTCTCATTTCACATGCAAGTTCTGAAATGTGAACCCCTAATCGGCAAATAGCCGTGGCATGGTCCTGCCAATGAATACGTGCAATTAGATGCCCAAAGCCTTCCTTTTAATGGACGTAATTGCAAAATAGCTTCTTCTCGCCCTGCAAATGCAGGGGGAGAACAGATGGTGAGAACTTGGTTTCAAGTGATGCATTCATTAAAGGAGCCCGTGCTGCCAGGAATTCTCTGCAAATGCAAGCCTGCTTCCCCGTGCAGTGGGACTCAGGCTGCGCTGGCAGTTCCCAGAAGACAGGCATTTTCAAGGAGGTTTGCTGGGTCAGGAGGATTTTCTACCGTGTTAAGGAGTGCGCTGGACTGCATGGGTGTGCCAAAGGTCTGGGATTCTGCATCACCCACACAGTGATAGGCTGTCAGGTCTATAGACTAAAGCCCTCAAGGCACAGACAAGGGTGGGTGGGAAGGAGCCACAGAGAAACCTTCAGCCCTGCTGACTTCCCAGTTGGCTTGGAGGGGAGAGAGGGGAACTCTGCCTCCACCACTCCTCACCCCGTCTGCCGACCCTTGTCTCTTCAGCCGGTCCCGAGAGAGAAAGCCCACTCACCTCTTCGCTATATTTGCTGACGTAGGAGTAGATCTCATTCAGTGCGCTCAGCATGTTGAACTCCGTGGCGTGAAGGCGCGACTGCTCCGCGAGGTAAGCGTTCATGTCCTGGTCGCTGATGGCCGGGAGCTTTGCAATGTCAGCGTAATACCTGGGGAAGAGTGAGGCAAGAGTGAGGGAGCGGGAGGATCTGGCCCTCCACGGGCACAGCGAGGCACTGCTGCCACCGCGGCTCCCAGCCACGCGCTGATGCTGACCTCTCCACCCAGCTCTTGTAGCTGGGGATGTCCTTGGCGTACAGCAGCTTGTTGGAGGGGGAGTCCTTGCCCAGGCGGTGCTCAGAGGTGGAGCAGGAGTCCATGAAGGTCTGGGCCACGACTGAGAGGCAGGCGTCCGTGATGCTGCCCTTGTGGATGTCGAACACAAACTGGGGGTTCTTGATGACGTTCACCCAGAACCGGAGCGGGAGGCTGAGGAAGAGCACAGGAGTAAAGAGCGAGCCCAGATCCGAGAGGCCGGAGGGCAGCTTCCCTTTCCCATGCAAGTGAGGTGCCCATTTGCTCTGCAACCCTGGCATGCACAAAGCAGAAGCAATGGCTCTGCGAGTAGGACTGGGCGAACCTCACTGCCAAACCCCTAACTGGGCCTGGGGTCTGTTTGTCTTTGGCTTGACTTCCCGGTGCCTTTGGGACAGACCTTGGCTCGGCTACCTGCCTCAGACCCAGCTTCCTGCAGGCTGGCCCCTGCCCACCCTGTCCTGTGGAGCAATGGCAAAGGGTGCTAGAGCCAAGGGGGTGGCAGGAGCCGTCAGTCCCAGCCCCAGTCCTTCAGGTTCGACAGCTGCAGTGGGAAACCTTTGTTGTTCGGCACGGTTTCCTTTCATAGCTTACAACGTGCTGCTTTCATTCGGGCTTCCAGCATTTTTATCCTAATAACTCCTTCTTCTAAAGCTCTCTGCAAATTGTTTTTAGCTTCCCATCGCCTTGGTGGGGAATCCAGCTTTTGCAGATGTGATGATTAGAGGCTTTTTAAGCCCTGAGGGATTGGGAAGGGGGACAGGGGGGTGCGGGGAGAGAAGGGAGGAATACAAAATCTTGCTGGAGCTCCCATATGTTGAGCTTTTTTTCCAACTCCGAGGGAAATTTCTAACCCACAGAGCTTTTAATCCTAAAATCACAGCGAAGGCAAAGCCATAATCACACCGGTTGTCTGGAGGACGTGGAATCCGAGCCACAGTTTGTGTCAGCTGCGCCGGTTCGGAGTGAGCTCCACTCGCCCACCCCTCTCGCCCTGGCAGAAACCTTCCAGGAGTTGCCGAAATATTTGGGAAGGAGCAGCTGCTAACTGAGCTGCCACCTTGGAGCATTAGTGGCATTCCCCCGTGACGCTACCATGCCCAGAAGGGCTGGCAGGTAGCCCCACTTCTGTTCCTTTTGGCAGCCTGGCTCGAAGGTGCAAACCTCCCTTGCCTTCTCCAGAGCGCAAATCCTGATACAGAGGAGAAGCTGGCTTTGTGGTGCTGTCTGTGCATCTCTTATATAGGTCATCTATGGAGGTGCGTGTCTACCTGGCCTTCCGGCTGTCTTCAGACTAATACAGCTAACAGCCTCTCTGCTTATGGCTAAAGACACTGCCTGGGAATCAGTTAAATTCCTTGCTCTGCCTTGGACCCTTCAAGTTACTGACCTGTGTTTCCCCACCTGTGGTCAGCAAGGCTTGTCTTGCCTATTTGGGTGTTAGCCCTTGGGGCCTGCATTGTATCTCTCTCCATGTACAGCGCCTAGCGCTATGCAGCCTCCACCTACTGCTGGCAGACAAATGGGGCCCCGGCACTGAGGAGCTGGAGGCATCTGGAAATTATTGGGGCTGCTCGTGTACCAGAATGAGGAATCAAAGCAGGTGGGAGGAGAAGCCGGCGACGGGCAAAGTTAGTGAGCTGTCATCTGTCTGCCGCTCCTCCCTGCAGCCTTTTGCACTGAAAGCCCCTGTGCTGCATTCCTTGCAGGGGAATGACATGGAAGATGCTATGAAAGCCCAGCCCTTGTCTGGACAGTAAGGGGGAGGAGGGTTTCCATGAAACCCCACATGCTGTATCTTCGCTTACCCTAGAATAACCTCGGAAAACCACTGGAAGCCATTAGCAGTTTTCTGGATGCTTCATGCCCAAGAAAATGACCTGATTTTAAGAGATTAGTGCGGTGCATGGAGCAGACAGGGAAGGAGCGCTTGGCTTAACTCTCGGCTGTGTTTAAGCTCTGCTTGGCTCTGTCAGTCATGTGGAGACAGAGAGCTGTGAGTTGGACAGCAGGAGGCATCTGTGCAGACCCGGATGGAGTTGCAACAGCTCTGTGAGGCTTTCCAAGGCTAAAGCAAGAGCGCGCGTAGCCCTCAGGGATCCTGGGACTGGAAGAGCAGGGGTACGGCAGCTCCCGACTCAGAAGCGTGGCTCAAATGCATCGGTAGCATTGCCTGGGGGTCTAAAGCTGCATGACTGGGACAGCAAAAGGCTGGACGTCTTCTTGGGGACAGCTGATCCAGCATCCTACCAGGGGAGCTTTGAATCCCCTCCTTCCATTGCACCTCACCACGGCCCGGTGGGGAGAATCACTAGTCCCCACTCCCACCACCATAAAAGCAAACCAGCAGGACTTGTGCCTCCCAGACAAGGGGAAGGGGCCAGGTGTGTGTCAAAGACAGCGGGCTGGGGTGAGGTCTGTCCCTGCTCCCATGTCCCTACCAGTTACTTTTCCAGGTGTGCCTCACGTCCGTGTCGTGGATGCTGTGCTTATCCGCTTGCTCATCCAGGAAGTCGAACATGTACTTGATGGCCAGCGGGAGCGCGCTGCCCCGGTGCACGGTGCTGAACAAGGTCTCGAACAAGTCGTCCACAAACTTCTGCAGCGTACCCTGCCGGGATCAGCACCAAGAGGGTGAGGGGAGGGAGACACACGGCCTAGGCAACATGGCAGGAGCGGACACCAGGCTGTACTTAGCCTGTAACAGTGGTACAGCTCTACAGCCCGGAGGAATAAGCAAGGTCAAGCCCTTAAAAG